ATTTATTTACAACTTGGGATGAGTTAAAGCATTTGTCCCAGTGTAAGTGGAGAGTGTCAACACAGTCTCAAAAATGTTTGGGCACCATTCAGTCTGTTCGAAAGGCTACAGCTGGAATAAAGACCTGTACAATATAGGTCATGTTTGATTTCTGCTCTGTTCGGATTCCTGAGATGTTTGTGGTGCTCGGGGTGTTGCTAGCATAGGGGAAATTTGTACCAGAGGCTTCCCTTGTACTATCTCATTCAGTGTGCTTATGGTTTAGCTCCTGCTTTCAGAATCAAACTAACCAGCAAGGAGGAGTCTTGAATGTCTAGCATTCCAAAATTAGAAATACCAAAAATAAAGTGTTGAGCTCTGGAAGTTTAACTGGGCTTGCATGTTGCTAAAAATAGATCTTATGCCTTAGATTCCATTATTGATAGCTCTCTCATTTGAATCTTAATACGAATGTTAGCCAGTGTCTGTGCTAAGAAACAAATCTTAATGTATTTCAGTACAATTCTGTCTCTTTGAAAATGTTTTAGAAGGTAGTATGTAATTTTGTTTTCTTTTAGGATTTTGGCGGGTTGTTGCATATATTTGTCATGAAGGATGTATTCCTTTTCTGGAGCTTTATGAATTGCTGAATCTGTTATGTGTGATGTGTAGAGATTCTTGTCACGGATTTTATTAACACTGTTGAAAAGTCGAAGTGCAAGGGAATGAGAAATGATAATTAAAAAAAATGACTAAAGAAAAAGCAAATGCTGGAATTATGTATTGTTGAATGTCTAGTATAACTCACTCAAGTTTCAATTTACCTGAAAGCCTCAAACCCTGAGATTTAAGTATGAGCCCATCATGTCTGTCCTAAAGAGGTGTTGGGACAGACATAAAAAATCTGTTAAGATCAAGCTGGTGATTCTGCCTCCCCCCCAATATATTAACAACTCATACCCAGAAGGCATATGGTGAAGCAAACCCATAAGTTCCACCGATGATGTATTTCAGTCTGGCTTATAAAATACGCTTCATGCTGATTTTCTGTACCTTATCTGTATTTTCTTCTTGCAGAAATGGAGAGTGGGGGAGGGAGGGCATAAGGACTCTCAGAAGTGTTACTGGTGAGCCAAGTATCATGATTAAACAGGGATATGTCAGATAAGGTGATGGGAAGTGTAAAAAGATATGCTGCTTTTTCCCCCTGGTGTATCTTTAACATTATGACCAATGAATTTGTCAAGTGAAACAGCACAGTCTTCTTTGCATATCATCTGAACTGAGGCTTTCTTTGAAGAAGATAAGCAGACTGTGTTGCCCAGAAGAAATAATGATGCTAATTTATCTTTGCCTGTCCTCATAGACATAGCAGTGTGCATCAGTGTTGAAAAGGAAATAGAGAAATAACTGAGCTGTAGCTTGCCACCTATTCAGTGCCACAGTATTGTTGATGGCGTACAGAGCTCTAAGAAATATGGCTGGTCTTAAAGTAGGAATTTATTTTACTTTGTCTTGTAGGTTTGAAAAAGTTTCCTCCGGCACACAGCTACCAAATTATGCCAGAAAATACCTTTTTTGGTGAATTCTCCTCAGCACAAGCACAGCTCTGTTGTAGGCTTTCTGCTCCATCACCATCAGAAGTGTATAAACAAGGATGAGAAAGTCTAAGTAGCATATGTTTACCAACAACTTTTAACTATCAATATTTACATTCTGGGCGTGGGAAACTTGGAAGTCTTTGTAAAATATTTTGAGGGGAGAGGATGAGTGGATGTTTTCCTTAACATTGAATTTACCAGAAATAAAAGCCCTTATAGAAATGAAATCTGATGTCTTGCAGTAGTAGGTCGTTGATTAGTAGTTTAGGTACTCGCATTCAAATTTTTTTAAAAAGCTCTTTTTCTGGGTTTTACATTGGGTTACCTGTCATCTTGCCTAGGGCTTCATTGCCTTAAACATTTCAGTCTTTTAACAACTTAGATATATTAAAAAGATCTTCCAAATGTAGATTAGATTTTAAATGTGTATACCTTAGCTTCAAGAATCCAAATGAGTTTTAACCTATGATCTTTTGTAATATATTTCACAATATATTGTTGTCTGAGATGTCTTCTTCGGTTTAATACGTGTATGTTTAAGAATTTGTAGTATATTGTTTGTGAGATTTTTTTTTTTTTCTATAATTTATGAAAGGTTTTTGTCCCTGAAAGGAGACATTCATGTGTAAAGGGTGTTTGACCGGCGCATGGTATGTTAGGAAAACTTACTGATCTACAAGTGAATTGCAGTGGAACATTTTTCTTTGTCAGGGAGATAAAAGCATTCTAGAGGCCAGAGAGTCCAGGGAGTGTCACTGTGCAAGCCTCCAAGCTGCAGCTGTGCAGCTCTGTAGCAGCTGGGGACTGTGGGAAGGCAGGGTGACAGACCCCTGAGGAGCAGCAATGCCTCCTGGATAAGAGGGATAAGATCACTAATAGTAAAATATTTCAGTGGTGCTATTGTGTTTTACCAGAATTTGTGTTAAAGGAATAAATTGCAGGCAGCTTATGCTATATAGATACGCAGTTTAGAGAATAATTAAAGTCTTTGTGTTTAATGTGTGTATTACCAGAGATAGGGTGGTAGAAAAGTTATGTTTATTTCATATGGCACTTGTAAATGACTTTTCTGGTTGAGGAAGAGTTTTAAGTGTCTGTTCTTGTTCGTTAGTATAGTGTTCTTCCATTACAGCAAAGTTCTCTGCCCTGCTGTTTGGAGTGTGTGTAAAATTGCCTAATGCCTTACCCATCTGCTGAAAAATATAGTGTGATACTGGAAAAATTCTCTGCATGAAGTAAATGTGGAGGAAAGCATATAGACTGGGACAAAATGTGGTAGCTGGAAGAGGTCTCTCTGCGGGTGGTAGCAAGTGTGTGAAGCTGGTGTTTAAGCAGAGGTGGTGTGGGGCAGGCCGGAAGGGAGTCAGTCTGCATGAGGAGCTGCCGAGGTGCTTGGAAGATAAATGCTGCTCTTTGTGCCCTGGCGTTGCTGAGGCTGCCTGGTCGATCATTCCATGAGCCTGGTGGGACAGGCCTGCTGCAGTTGGCTGAGGGAGATCGAGACTGATTTTTGGCCTGTGTTTGCAGTTGGTTTATCCATCATTTTGCTTCACCACCATTTCCTCTTCTGCTCTGATTGTGAAAGGGTAGCCCTGGAACAACTCCCTTAACCAAAGCCAGACTTGGCTGCATTTGGTGCAAGATAAAACTGTCTGCAGCCTTTCCTAGTGTTGGGCTCCATTCAGTTCATGAGCATTCAGCTGAAGTGCCAGGGATATGTGACAGGATTGCAAAAACATCATCCAAAATGCATGACATTTGGAAGCTAGACTGTCAATGAAAGTCACTAACATCACCTGAATGAGTGTATCAATATTATTGTGAATGTAGGGGGAAAAAAGTGTATTTGTTGTATTTTCCGAAGCAGTTACCTAAAAGGGAAAATGAGCGTTGTCCAGGGAAAACATACATGCTTATAAAGAAATGCTGAATACCTTCCCTGCCAGCATTGGTAATAATGAGAATCAGAGTATGTTAAGACCTAACTGGCTAAGACTGAGGCTCAAGGAGCTCTGTCAGGATAAAGTATCTCTGCTGTCATACAAGTGATTTTTATTTATTTATTTTTTATGAATTAACCCAGCTGCAGTCACCCTCCATATGGGTCAGTCTGGGTGCTGCAGCAACATGGCAGGGCAGTATGGGGACTGCCTGCTCTACTGGAGCTTGCTCGTGGATCTCCGCTCTGTATTAAATGTTGCTACTTCTTTTCTTTTCTTTTAAGATAGTATCCTTCCTTCCTTCTGTGCTGCAATTTGTTACAGGCTTCTCACAGTTGGCTGTATACAGAATCTAACAGCCTACCTGTCACCTCTGAAGACTGTCTTGTTTCCTGAAGTCCTTCACTGACATAGCACAGCGAATGGAGCTTGTGTGCCTATCTGCCTTCCACCTTGATACACTTATCTAGTGTATGTTTTGTGTATAAATAAGAAATTAAATTATATGATACTCTTAAGGGCACACTGTATGAGAATGGGAGGCATTTAAGTGCCTAATAATAATTTCAGAAGCATTAGTTAAACAAAAGAATTCTCTGAGGATCTTGGGGTATCTGAGGTTGAAGTATAGCTTGAACACTGATAATGAAAAGAAGTCATTAAAAAAATTAAATGGAGTGCTTTATCTGAGCTCCCTATTTCATGACATAAAACAAGCTCTTACTAATAGCAGTTTATTGCATAACTGCACTCCTCTTTTTTTTTTTCTCTTTTTTTTTGAAACACTGTTGCATAATGGAGGAGACAGAATTGTGGCTTTAACTATCGTCTTACTATGGTCAGTGGTGTGTATTTAATTTAAAATTGTTTTGAGAAGTGTTTGCCCAGAGACTTCATGTAGGTGGCACCTGTAGTTGTACTAGTGTTTTGAACATTGTAACTGTTAATCCTATGCTAATATTAGAAAACAAGTTACTTAAAATGATAGTGGTCATAGGCGTTTAGTTTCCTTCAGGTCTTTTTATTGCCAGGCCAAGTAGAGCCGAGCTACTGTGAGGAGTACTGGCTGTGTGTTCACAAAACAGTAACCACTGTTGTCTGTGCGTGGTTGGCTTTGTTAGAATTTCCAGCTTGTATCTCTTCAGTACTTGTATTCAGTGAGTAGCTGCAAGTGCTTACATTTAAAGAATTACATTTCAAGATACTATTTTCGGAGTTTTTTCTTAATCTTGCATGCATATTGTACTGAGGAACACAAGGAAAGCACTGGAGATTTAAGAGGATGAGAGGTTTGAGTCAATCATTGAGCTTCAACTTAGTAATGCAAATCTGGCTTTAAGTGACCTTATTGATGTTTGCTCAAAGTAGCTTCCTTTTGGTACAAATGACTGAGCTTTGTTGTAGCTATTGTACAGGTAATGTACTGCCCCTTTAGAGATTACTTCTGTATCCCAGATGCAACCTCTCTTTGCTTTAACAGACAGTGCCTGCAGAAACGCCTGGAGCTAAGATAGATTGCATCGGTGTGCCGCGTTTGATCATCTGTCAGCAGCAGAGAGGAGAGGGCAGGCAACGACGATCCCCTTGCTCTATCCCAGCTCTTGGAAATTCGCGAGTTTGGCTAGTGGTGAGGGGTGGTCGGGCGGAGACCTTGATGCCCAAGGAGGGACGTGACAGCGTCTCTGAAAGGGGCCTGACCACCTCTGTGCCTTATGCCTTGAAGAGAGGTGGCAAGCCTCAGGTGCAGGCTCAGGGTGTGAGGGGGGTAGCCGGCTTTTGAGTGGTACTGGTAGGGTGGCAGGAAGAGTGCAGCACCCATGTCTTGAGGAGATAGGATTGTGTAATAAACAGTGCCATCTTCTGGGAGGCCTTGGAATGATGCCCTTGTGGTCAGCATTTTTGGAGTGTTTTTTTTTTTGTTTTGGTAGGGTCTTTCTATCTAATAAATGCTGTGATTTTTAAGGAAAAACCTAAAACTGTGTTTTGGAGTCTGCTTAAAAGAACAAAAATTTATCAGCTGCTTAGCAATGCTCCAGAGAAATGTGTCTCACAAATAAAAGATAAGCATTTGGTCTGCTTTGTATACCGAACTCCATTATTAATTTTGCAAACATACTTTGTAAAACCTAGATAATTGCAGTGTTTTCTCATAGAAAGTTTAGTATTTATAGGAAAAACTTAAAGATCCGGAGTAAGAATGATTACTTTGTCTTTTGCTGCTTTTAAGTTGTTAAAACTCCTTCGTTTGGGGATGTCAGAAAGGAGAAAGTCTTAAAATTATTGCCCTACAAATAGTTACATTGAGAAATATTCACTGTGGTGCAAAATCTGGGATTAGAATTGCTAAAATTATCCTAGCAAGTGGAATGTAAGATTCAGCATTTACTGAAACTTATTAGTGGTGTCAGATCAATCACTTGAACTCTTACTTGGTGGAAGTGAGCAATTTTAGTAACATTAATGGAACTGTATGGGAGAAGCAGCTGACATTGTGAAAGGGCTTTTTTGTTACACACTTTTGCGTGGATAGATAGATAGATAAGCCCAAGAAAAAAGTCAATAACAAAATGTAATCGTTATGGAGGGAGAAGAAAAGAGGAATCAATGTTTTCAAAATCTTTATTGCTAAAATAAGTTATTTATCTGGTATATTCAGAATGGCAAGAATTTCTGAGCTCTGGACAGGAAGATAGAATTGGAATAGGGTTTTTTTCATCGTGATTGTCTAGGTAATTTACCAGCAAAGATGCAATGGAAGAATAGTTTCTAAAAATAAATCAATAAATAAAACTTTTTTTTGCATGTGAATTTGAAGTCTGTTCGAAGTGTTACGTATTAAGCATGTTATAATCAGTACATTTTGTATTCCAGAGGGTCTCATTTTAATGACTATGGAATCTGAGTTTTCTGGGTAGTGCAGTACCTAACTGCAAATTAATTTACAGTTAAAATGGTAATCGAACATATATTTACTTTTCCAATATTGGTGTTAGCTTGATCTGTCACACAGTATTTAATATATAAAGAAAATGTCTAACTTTCAGTATATTCTGAATGTTTAACAACATAAGTTGTTACTGTGTGTCATCTTTCTATTTGTGCAAGCTGTCGGTATTAACAGTTAGGACTTTCGTTTCTGACATCTGGAAGTAATTTAGCATTGACCCATCTTACAATGTTGATTTTAAGTTGCTGATAAAAATCAGATGTAAAAATTTCCATTTCAAGGGGTGGTGGTCCTTGAGCATACTTCACACTAAGTACTCTCTTCGCCTTGATACAATTTAAAGACTTGGGGGGGGGGTGTCTTATTATTTAATAACTAACTGTTCCGTAGTTTGGGAGTAAAGTATGTGTAACAATAATTTTCTGCAAACTAGCCTGCAAAAATATTTCCCCACACATCTGGAACACCACATGTAGATAATCCTATTAACTCTACCAGTTTGAATCAATGTTTCACCAGTGCGGTGCTCTAATGAACACAAAGTTATTTATTAGAGATTTTTTTGGTTATTGGTGGTGATTGCTGTTCTTCGTGGCTTTTAATTCTGTTCTTCTGTAATTAGTCAGGCTCTTGGAAGTCTTAGTTCAAACCATCTGTAAGAGCTGTAGTTTAAGATAGGTGAAAAACTCAATCTAAAATAAAACTTTAAAGATTTTCAGAACGGATGGTACAGTATATTATTTTCCAGATTCCTGTTAACGTGGAAAATGCTGTTCCAAATGTTGGGAAAACATTGTGTGACAAGATAAGTAAAAATATAAGAAATCCTGTTTAGCAAAGAAAGAATGCAGTGCAGCTGACACCGAAGGTGCCCTCTTTTCCATCTGACTGAGAATTTTAGCAGTGACGTTCAATACAACAAGCAAGGTGGTAACTTAACATTAAAGCAGACACTGACCATATCTCTTAGGTTTCCTAAATCGTAATACTGTTTTCTGGTTGGTAGAATGTACGCTAAACAAATGGTAGTGGTTCTGGAAAGGCAGATCAGAAAATATCTGGTCTTAAAACTACAGTTGTGCTAAATAGTAATTGTACTGATTGTACTAGGACATAGGACAAGGACATAGGACTAGTAAAATTGTACTAATTGTACTAGGATGAGAGTTGCGCCAGGGGAGGTTTAGACTGGCTGTTAGGATAAATTCCTTTACTCAAAGAGTGGTGAGACAATGGTGCAGTCACCATCTCTGGAGGTGTTCAAAAATTCTGTAGATACGGCATTTTGGGCCATGCTTTAGTGGTCATGGTGGTGTTAGGTTGATGGTTGCACTTCATCAGTTTAGAGTCTTCTCCAACTGTAATGATTCTATGATTCTGTAATTAGAAATATTTATGTTTGTAACTGAAAAAGCGAGATTTTTTTTTTAACTGAATATTAGGTGTTATTTATGCAAGCTGTGGGATACTGATGAAGTAGATAACAATAGAAACAATAACATATAATAGAATATAATAGAAAACAATATATATATATTATATA